GGACTTGCAGGGAGATTTACGTGAACTTTGTGCTGTGGAAGTGGTTGCCCTTTAAAGCAACCAGATTTATATGAAATAAGCACATTTCTAAAACTGTATTTTGTAGATTAGTCTTTAGATTTTTTTTTCTAGAGCAGCAGAATACAATTATCAGTATAAAGTGAGATTTCAAAATGGGTGAATTTGAGTGTATGGATAAACTTTATATATTTTTCTGTGCAACCTGTTTGTGTTTAAAACAGAACAGAAAGATGCTCGAGGAAACTGTCAGGGAATTTTCTAGCTGTGGGTTGAATCTGTCCAATGCTATAGTTCAAAAACTCATTGTTAATTAATCATCATCTTAATCCTCATGATGGCATGAATGTTGGTTCCAGTGATAAAAAGAAAACTAATATCTTCAGAGATGTCAGTCTGAGCCGCCAAACATCCAGAAGGATATCCTTCAAAAGCAATAAGTAGGAGGTATGCATATGAATTTCATTAGCTAGTAATAATATGCGTACCCATACTTGGGAAGAAACACCACTTAAAGCCTGTGCTTTCTGCTGGCCTGGTGGGGCTTGTGCAACTCTGAGTTATACCTTTTCCGTCATCGTTGCAGGTTTTTGTGCAGAAGTGGCTGGGGTAAGGTTTTCCAGAAACTCCCCAAATCTCTTAAATGAAATATGTTTTTCTTTAAAAGCAAAATATCTGAAGAGCTGGAATGTTGCAGCACTCTACCTCAGAGGTTTGAATTTGGATTTTGCTGCATGCTGATGGCAGACAGGGAGCAGGATGGCTGTGGAAGGGCTGCTCATGTATGTAACTCATCAAGAGGGGAAAATTCCATTTTTCAGGGCAGTGATACCAGAATCAAGGTTAGAGTGGGAGAAGAACCTTTCCTTATCCTTCTCCTTTTTTCCCCTTAGTGACCCTTTGCTTGCCAAATGCCTTCTGTGCTGGAGGTAGCAGCTCACCATGCTTTGTTTAAACAAAATAATGATGAAAGACTTGAGCAGATCTTGGCTGTGGTAGTAGCCCTGGGGGTTGAAGTTGCACCAGTTGAGTGATGCTAGTGCTTGAGCTCACCCAGTAGCAGAGACAGGGAGAGGAGAATTTGTGTCCCAGGAAAAAGGTGAAATGTTGCTGAAGAGGGAAAAACTGAGGGGTTTCTTTCTGTAACTGTTTGCAGTTGGACCCTAACCTGTACAAAGCAACAAAAGGAAAGGCTCCATTAATCTTTCCCTTATTAAATGTGTTCTGCTAAAGTGTGTTCATCACGCTGTTTAAAAGAACCAGGTTAGAAATCTACTGATAATAAATGAAGATTTATTATATTTGGTGTCGTATACCTAATACAGGATTGGAATACAAACTGAAGTTTGTGGAAGGAGTAAAAAAAAAAAAATGTCCTGGTGCCATTTAATTAACTGTCTGGCCAATATTTCTCCCTTTTTTTATTGAAAAATCTGTACGTTGCAACTGGCTTCAAGTATGCTCTTGGACAGCTCTGCTAACAGCCAGAGAATAAATACACTAAAATAGAGACAGCCTTGCACAGCTCCACACATACCAAATGAAACCTTGAGCTGCAAAACAATATCTTTTTTTGTTTCAAAAAAGAATGCAATAATTGCATATGTTTAATGAAAATAATTTATTAGAAAAGAATTAACATTTTTTTCATCAGCATAGATGGAGCATCTCTTAAAGAGTGCTGTGGGACAATGAAGAGCAGTGCAAACAGGAGCAGGGCTTTTATCTAAACTTATGATCCACTTGTTTTTGAAATTGAGTTTTTCCTTTAACCATCTGCACGTTTAGAGGAAAGCTTTAATAAATTACTTTTCTTTAGATTATGGGAAGTAATATGGGTATTATTAGCTCATTTTGCATATTAAAATGAGGTGTTTCCTGCTAATTTGATTTCCAGTTCAAGTTCTGCAGTTTAAATCTCTCTCATGGGATTTAACTAGTTACCTTGCTACTGGATTAAGACACTGGAGGACAGATGTAAGCAATCTATTTTATGCAGCTGATACTGCATAGATATTTTATAACATTTTCTTCTGTTGTTGTTCTAAGTGATCCTGCAAGCTTTGTGCAAAAATACAGGGGCTGGAGAACTCAATTTCTGGAGTAAAGGAAAGTCTGGATTTGTCATTTAGCTGAAAGTGTTGGTGTCCAATGGGTGCTTATGCTTTTTAACATTAAAAAGCTGAGGACATATTTGTAGATATAATATATATGGCCTAGCTTTTCTTGAAGACCTAGTGTGTTAGTGATCATGTTTTGGGGAGATGGAGACCAAGTCTGGAAGAGTTAAAGACAGCTGGAAGAAATGAATCTAAAGTATTGAACTGCCTCAATAACTGCAGTCCTGCTGATCCAGATTCCAGCGGTAGCTCTTGAGTTGAAAGGTTAATGACTCATTTTCTGAGCAGTGCAGTTTTCTTTCATTTTTCATTTACAATTATCTCCACTGCTTTAAAAACTGAAAGGCACTTCCAAAATGCGTTGTACTCAGGCGTTATTGCTGTCAATTAAAGTTATTAAATCATACATCTTTAAAAATGAAATCCAAATACTCATTAATATGTTTCCATTGCTCTATTGCCACTTCATTATGGAATTGACAAGTGTGGTATTGAAGCAGCTCTGGAAGTTGGTGGCTACCTATGCCTAATGACGAAGATATTCATTTGGATATCCAGTTTTTTGGGAATAACTACTTTTTTGTTGTTTTCTTGAAAGCAAGAACCTTAAGAATGGAAAAATTTGAGAGGAGATCCTCTACAGTCTCTGGCTGTGGGTTGTTAGCTGCTGGGTCAGAGCTTGGTGTTAGAATGCATGAGCAAATGTGTTGGTCATGCTTGGCATGTAGGGGCAATAAAAGAAGAAACAGGCACCTTCAGAGCCCCTGACAGAGAAGGATGTCGCAGAAGGTGCAAACTGTATGCCTAAGAGGCTGAGATACTGGTGGTGGTTCTGGGAAATGGAGGATGATGAGGGCAAAAGCCAAGCTTTTTATTTTTGCAGCCATTTGATGTGGTATTCGTGCTCCTCTGTGTATTCTTTAAATTAGCAATTTCACTTTTTCTGAAAGTCTACTATACTTTGACTTTTAATTGAATTAAGTCCCATTATAAATGACATCTTTCCAACAGTTGGGATACAGGTTAGCACTCCCAAGAGGGGCGATTTAATGAGGTTGTTGCTATGACAGCTCAGCTCCAGGCAGCACATGTGCTACCTCAAAACACCCTCTTTCCCCTCAAATATTACAGCAACTTTTGTGCTGGCTTCTTAGAACTTTGCTCTTAGTGGGATTCAAATGCAGCACTTTGTATTTATATTTTCTCTATAACACAGCAGAGGATTTGACAGTCCACGCTGTTCATTTCTTTTATTTCTGAAATCCTATTAGTAGTGCATGGTTTGACAAGCAAAAGAACAACAAGGTGTTAACTGCAGTTATTTCAAAAGATGCTCTGAGGACGAAGTCAACAGATTTACAGAAAGAATAGGCACATATATTGCACTGTTTACAGTGAAAAATATTGGGCCTGTCTTTCTTAAATTCACATCAGAGAACATCTCAATGGATGAAATGAGCTGTATGCTTACCAGGTATAGTGTAAACAAGCATTCCCACTATGCTGCAGCCGTGCAAGATGGTACAGCTATCTGCATTCAGCAGGAGCTGCCTGTGGTCTGTGGTGTAATATGATGTCTCAATTTCCTGAAGCTGTTAAAGCAAGAAGTTATGTTATTCAGAAAGGCTTTCAGTGCAAGTCTGAAGCAGGTTGCTGAAGAGATGACATGACTATGGGAGGCAGCAGCTCCTGCCCCCCCTCTCCCCCCCTCGTAGAGCTGGGAGAGGAGCTGGTGATGCAGGATTCTTGGGCTGGATTCTTGGGCTGGAGCTGTGGCTATATTTGTTCTACCATTGCTGCCAGCCTTTGTCACGTACCTTCCTGGGCAAGACAGAAGGGAATGTCTTCCCTAGAAGTAATTCCCTGCCATCCGCCTCCTTCTCTACTGGCTCTCTTCTCTAATACAAACTTTTGTAAGGTTAAATTTGAGTAAGGGAGTTCCAAGCCTAAGACTTCGAATTCTGATGGGGTTTACAATGTGGTCCTACTACTTGTAGCTTAAAAGTAAGTTTGAATTTCTATTTTACAATGTAATCTCGTGAAAATATTCCAGGTTGTGAAAGTTCGAAGAGGTACGGTGGCAAAGGAAGCAGTTGCTATTGCAAATATTCCTCTGCTGCATATCTATGAAATCAGGAGATGTCATGTTGAAGCTCAAATGAGCAGCTCTTATATTTGTTTCTGCTACTTCAGTGTTTTCTGGTTGCTTTGCAAACTTCAGTTACTCCTCGCTTTTCTGCCTCCTCTTCTCTCAGCCTTGTAAGTGATTTTTTTTTTTTTAATTCTAAATAAGCATATCAGTTCATCACACAGAAAGGAGTCCTACTCAAATCTGACATGACCTATATAAATTGCCTTAAACATTGGCCTGGAGCTCACCAGTTCAGTTGAAGATGAAGAAATTTTATTCCCATTCCATCTGTGTTCACTGTTGTTGTCTGCTTACTTGTGAATTACTGTGTCTCTCCTGCCATGTGGCTGTACCCACCATGGTGCCCGGCCATCTCAGTAGCTGCTGGGAACAAATTCTTTTTGTCACTCCTAATCTCAGTGAAATGAAACCTAGGGAGATGCTGAGGAACTGATTATTCAACCCCTAAAAGCTTTGCCTTTTTGAAGTTAATGGGCTTAAAAGATTTTAGTTTGCTGCTGTTTTAGAAACAGTGTGCTGTAAAGATCTGGGCTTCTTTTTATTTTGTTTGTAAGTAAAATACCTCGGTGCTGAAGAGTAAAAAAGGGCTTCATTGTGTTTATTACGCTGCTTACTAGGTTTGCAAGCATGCTAAATTCTTCTGTAAACGCAAAATCATTGAGCTATATCCAAATTGCATCAAAAGATGCTGATGAGAATATTTGTTACAGTTCTCTGCAGGTTCTGATAATGCTGTTTGCCATAAGGGCGTTCCATCCTGTGACTGAAGGGGAGAAGTGCAACTGCTGTATGTTTTTAATGATGTATAATAGGTTTGGATATCTGACGTGATATTATTTCCTGTTCTTTGGCTGCTTTTGCTCTTATGCCACCCAGTTTTGTCCCCTTTGCAAGGGAAGTGAGGTAAAGATTAACAGGTGTGTCCATTCCTCTCCTCCCCCCCAAAAAAAGCCCAACTTCACAACTCTACCTCACCCTAATAATAACAATCAAAAGCACAATCCAACAGCACCCAGGGTGTGCACTGACAAAATGAGACCAGATGCAGACAGGAAGGCACATGGTACAAATCCCAGCTTCTCACTATGAAGATTGCTGAAAGAAGAGAAAATGTGCTGTGATTTATTCTCACAGCAAAAAAAAAAAAAACTGCAAGTGGAACGAGGAGTACAGAAATCTGTTAATACAGTTTACACTTAGAAGAGCGTGTCCTCTTTCACCACTACTCTTGGTTTAAACATAACTAAATAAAACTGGTCTACAGGCAGAGCTTCTTGAGCTGCGGTCCGAACTCTCACTAAATGAACATCTAACACTTAATTTAACGGTAATCATGCAGCTTCTTGAAAAAAATATTTTTCACTTATTATATTTGTTCGGTAGTTATCTCCATGTGTAATAATATCAAATTACTATGCTGTCTCTCAGAGTCCTAAATCGTATCATTCTTGCACAGACCAGAAAATTACTTGTACTTAAAGATATGTTTATCTGTACGTATGTGGTGGATTTTAAATTGAACAGTTCCAGACATAATTTTCCTAATATTGGTTAATCCATCTTTAATTAAAATGTTAATTGCTAATCCACATATTACACATAGAAAACCAGCCTACAGTAAACTGTGACTTATTTGCACAAGGATGAAAAACGTGAAATTACAGGGCAATCTGCTCTTCAGAATGGCAACATGAACATCTTTATGATAACCTACTAAAAATATATTGAGATTGCTTGACTTGTTTCCCACCAAGAAAGGAGGGGAGGTAACTTGGTGCCATCTAAAAACTTCCACTTCAAAGTATGGCCTGGAATACCTTTTTTATTTTTTTATAATATTTTTTTAAAGGGAATTTGCCCAGAAAGGATTACTCCAGTGCTGCAGCTGTACTCGTTTCTCAGCTAGAATACTCTGCTGAAATCCTGTCTATGTTTTTCAGAACAAAACTCCCTCTGTCTAAGGTTGCATTTCAGAAGTCAGACCCAGACAATCTTGCTTTCTAGCCAAGGGTTACAGAAGGTGGTTAGCTAGGTGGGGGTTATGCTTACTGTGGGTTGCTAATGTCTTTTCTCACATAGCTTTTTCAGAGCTGTTATATTCAAATCAGACTCTTGAAATCATACAGGATTGCAATTTGAGTCATATTAAATTAAGAAAATAGAGACTTACCTATAGAATGCCATCTGTTGATTTTCTATTTAATTAGAGAAATGGTTTTCATAAATCTGTCTCACTTACTCAAAGTATGTATTAGTAGGTAGGCTTCTAAAAACATCTGCACTTTTTTTCCTAATACCTGAAAGGAGAAACAACCCAAAAAAAACCCAACCATGTGAACATTTTGAATACTGCTAAATGCTGCTTAGCAAAAAGCATGCCTACTAATTGCACAGATCTTAACAATCTGTTCCTATTTGGGGTTTGTCTCAAAACCACTGGAAGGGTTTGAACTTTTGGGTTTCGGATGTGCTTTTTTTTCATATATTTTTTTAACCTGTTCATTTTCCATCAAAGGAGGTCACCTCTTCACCTTTCTTTTAATCTTTCCTCCCTTTCAGACCCTGCATTCCAGTGTTCTTTCCCACTTGTGAAAGTCACTTAATCTCTGTTTGAACCTGTTCCTGCTCTGCTCCAGCAGCACGGCTTCTCTTAGCGGGTTCATCCAAATGGATCAAGAGGAAGATGCCTTTGACACTTCTGTACCCGGAGGATGCAGAAGCTCCTTGGCTGAGAGCTATGAAAGAGGTTATTTTGGGAGCAATATGGATTTGTATGTATTGCTTTGGCTTGGTTTACTGTCACTCTGTCTTTGAAACGTGTTTGAATATATGCTATTGATGCATGAATAATACTGCTATTTATAACTTGTTTTCAGGCAGGAGAACTGGCCACTGCCACCAGGAGGGTCGCCCTGCCTGCATGGAAATTGTGTTCGTTTCAGTTCCTTACAAGGCCAGAACAAGAATTTAAAAATAAATACGTGTAATAATAAAAAAAAAATAAGCGAACTCAACCAATTTTCAAGGTAGGGTAGTGATTATAAGCTGTGCCACTTGGTCAGGCAGAGCCGACCAGCTCCATTGAGCCCACAGCTCCCTGGGAGCTCTCATCTTTTCTTCTGAGTCTTTGAACAGCGACAGAATGTTGTGCTCCCTGGTGCCGCTGAGCTGCCCTACCTCCTGGTATCCTAACGTTTGTGACTGGGCTGAGAACAGCTCTTCCCCGTGGTCTCTTTAATTTCTGATCTGTGGGCTGCAGGCAAGTGGCTGGGGCTCTAAAGCAAGCTCGTTGTGCCTGAGTTATATGACTTCCTCTTTTTAGCTAGGCAAAGCAGATTAAAAATTATTTCTTCTTTGTCTTGTGCTGTAGGCTAGGAATAAAAGCCATCGAAGACAAATCTGCTATTACAGAGATTGTCACTCAGCCTGTTCTCCAATAGACAAGGTCTGCGATCACAGAGTGCAGAAACAAATGCACGTGTAAAACTGATCTGCACCAGAGGTTCCCGAAGTCATCATGCGGTGCATAATCTTATAAGTGAGGGGTTATATAACAAATGCTTCCTCAAGAATTGTACATCTTTCTTTTACATCGCCTTCGCAAGTTTTTTTTTAACCTTCTTCTAAAGTGGATCAATTTTATCCCGTATAAATGTTGAGACTTCTTTTGCATGTTGAGCCAGGGATCATCACCTGGTGTAGGAACAGGGGTGCAATTAGGAATAGAAACAGCAGATAAGTTGGGTTTGTCCTCAGACAAAAGGAATTGCTGTGCTTCTAATACAACCCCTTATTTTAACTGGGCAAAGCATTAAGGAGGGGGGACACAGAGGTAAACTGATGACAAAGCAGCTGGAGTAGATGCTTAAGGAGAGTTTAAACCTTTTGTTATGAGATGGAAGCGAAGGATATGGACATTTAGGAAGCGCTTAGTGGGCAATAGAAGTCCTTAAGTTGAAGCAAAAAGGGGATCACAGTGAGGTGGTTCTGTGGAAGAAAAGAATGAATGGAAAGTGGGAGTTGTCCTTAATATCTCTGAAGCGTTTTCTTTCCTCGTTCTACATGGGCGACTCTCTCTGAATCTGCAAAGCTCTCACATCTACCTTTCAGTAACTGTTCCTACAGTGTTAATATTTTTTTAACTAAACTGCCTTTTAAAAAAAAAATACTCTAAGCCCTCTCCTCCAATAAAGTTCAGCAAGCCCTCTCCTCCAATAAAGATTGTTCAATAAAATCACAACCGTGTATTTCTAGGTCCTGAGCCATCTATCTGATTTTCATGTAGATGCAGGGTGAAGCCTGCTTGGAAAAAAATGAGAGGACATCCAGTGGACGTGATCTAGCTGGTGCTTTTTTTCTGCATCTTCTGTTTGCTCCCTCTTCCCGAATACATTCAGTATGTGCACTTACTGATGAAGCACAAGTTTCAGAGATGCTCAGTGTCTCTAGCGCATAAGCCTTCTCTTTGTACTATGTCCTTGTCATGCCTATTTTTAAGAGAAACTTCATGAAGTTAGTTTCTAATGCCACACCAATAACTTCATTATTTGAAAGCTCGTTCTGACCGAAAACCCATGTTATGTACTCAGTCTGCCATGGGTGAGTGCTGATGAACTTGTTCTAGTCCAGGGTTTTCTTTTCAGTTCCCTGGTTAGCCATTTTCTTCTCATTATTGTCTTAAAATTCGTACTACCTTTGTATTTAATATATTCCACTTGTTGCAAGGAAGTCCTAAATTAATGGAAATGTAAGCACAGCTCTTGCAAACCCTCAAGATTTGAAACTGAATGTGGCTGTGGAAGAATATATGGAAGCAATTTCTCCTTCTAGAAATCTAATAATTGTGTTCTAATCTCTTCAGTGGTGCAGTGGTACCCTATAAATACCTTCCCACTGTGGTGACTTCTAGTTTGCTTTCAAAAACTCAGCTTATTTTAAATGTCACTCTTAATAGCTTTCTGTTGACAAAATAAAAGATAACTCTGTTGGATATCCCAGTTAAGCAGGGTACCATGTTTACATTGGGTTTCTGCCCAGCAGCTGCTTATGCTGAAGTGCTACAAAGAACCCATGAATTAATCACCATGTAACCATGGGGACACATTGTGTTGATATTCACCCCAAGTGAGTGTCATCACCGTGATGTGATCTGTAGATACAGGTGACATCATTCTTCTGCAGTTCAGTGTGATTGTGGGTAATAAAGTCCCAATTTCTTGACTGTTTTGGGAGGTGCTCAAATGCTGCTGTTGCTGCCTTTCTCTGGAAGAGGTAAAGAAAATGCAGAAGTGGTATTTAATGAATTACAGCTCCTTAAGGTGTGTCTGAAGTGCAAAATTAGCCTCCAAATGTGTGTATGTGCATAATGGCAGCACTGTGCTTCGAGGTACAAATTATATGGTGACACATGCACATTTTCTGAGTAAAGGTGCAGGGAGAAAAAAAAACAAACATGGGTCAGCATTTGAATAAAATCATTTAATTGGATTTTTCATATTTATCTTTATCTTGTGAGATAATTGCCTCATTATGGGCTGTAGATTCTGATTTTTATTATATCAGTGTTTATCAGAACTACATGCAGTTTCCCAGAAAGCTGTAACCAGTCATAAAAGCCCTTTGGATGCTCAGAAATAGCTGGTAAGGAAGGAACAGTTGAAATACGTAAGTGTACAGGATATTGAGAGAAACAGCCATTTTAGGAGGGGCAAGGACCATTTTGTGGTTAAGTTAATAACACAACTTCAGTTAACTTGGTCCTACGCTTAGAGCTCATAAAGACACCCATGGGAATGCATGAATTACTTTCTCTTAATTGCATTATTTAATTTAAATGTTTAAATTGCCTTTCTGATTTTAATGCAGCTTTTTTTTTTTTTTAAGGAAACACTTTCTATTTGGGATTTGCATGTGTGTGCTCACTGCTTTGGTTCTCCTCCAAAGATCTTTTTCCTCAGAAAAATAGTGATAATTAATTTGTTGGCAAAATCCAGCCATGACTTCAGAGAGAGTTGTGAATAATGAATGCAGGGTCTTTCTCTCGCTGCAATGGCAGTAAAACATCGGCCAGCATTGTGTTAAAAATGCTGTGTGTGTACGTACACCTCTAAAAAGAACAACTGAAGTGCAGAGATCTCCAGCTCTGATCAGCCAATGTATTTTGAGAATGGACAGATGGGACTTGATGCAAAGAGTTTTGCATTGTCTCAAACAGCTCTGTGTGTGTGCTGCTGGATCAGGGCTTCAGTGCTCTTGAGGAAGAAGCAAAGTTGGTTCTCAAGCAGAGCTAGCTAAAAGATAAATACCTACGGAGGGAGAAGAAAAAAGCAGGTTTCTGTCTGCTTCCTTACTGTCTCATCGTGAGGTCGTGTAATTCTCGATGTCCCTTTGGTCTGGAAGACAAATTTATTGGATGTGGCTAATAGTTGCTTTAACGTGATTCTGGCAGGAACAGACAGGAGTTTGGTTTGCTCAGCCTGAGGGAATCCTCCTGTAGCATCCTCTTTGAGTCAATGGGAGCTCTGTCATTGACTTAAAGATTAAAGGGTTCAGTAAGGTGAATTGACTTAATATGAAGTGATTTAGCTGTGATTTAAACCAATGAGCAGAAAACTTTGATTTAAATAATTGATTTCAATCTTATTGTGAAAATTATAGTTTTAGCTGTTTTCAAAGAAGCCAATTCCTTGACTGATGATTCAGTTCAAATGTAGTGATTTGGGACCAAATAGTAATGTAGCTGATGTATTTCATGATATGTAGTGAAACATTGCTCTCTCTCTCTCTCCAGTTCTGTGTCTTTTCCTGACCAGGTCTTTATTCAAGTTCTTGCAAATTTAGGTGATGTTTTAAGTCCTGTGATTTACTTATGTGTTGACTTACTGCTAAGTCACATTAGTTCTTATATGTCTTTGTAAAACTGGACGTGATTCAACTCTGATTCCGTGCACAGTTTACTTGCCAGTTGGTTTTGATTTCTGTGGACACTAGAGGGAGCACATATTGCTTTAAGAAGGGACAAATATTTTGTCCTGTCAAAGCATGATCTAATCTGGCAACAATATACAACAGCATACAGGAGTATGTGTGATGTGAAGTCACATTTGTGTTTCTCAGGTAATTCATCAAGGGGGAAAGCATGCAAAAGGTAAAGGTCACTTTATGGGGAATCTATTCTAGATAATGATAATTTTAGTGATTGCTACCACTATTAGTGGGGTTTCCTTCCCCCCCCCCCATCTCCCTCTATTTAACTGAAGTTGACGTTTAACTGAGTTCCAATTATTTCATTAATGCTATATACATTTTAGGGAATACTTATTGGTTAAAATATTTTTATCTCTTATGATTTTATTGACTTGTGTTAAAATGCATTGATTTTTTTGGCTGGTATGCTTGTTTTAGAGTAGATGCAATTGTTCTTGTAGTTGTGCTTTGGAGTCAGAGTTCTTGTTTTTTCAACAGATACGTTTCCATTGAAAAACAAATTGAACATCTGAAAAGATTAAATGGATGTTAGTGCAGCATCCTGTTTTCAAACATGCCATTCTTTCTTCTAATGTGTGAAACATGACACTTGAAAGCATTCTTTTCTAATCTTACTCCATTAATCTTATGCTTAATGTACATAATAGCACATCGATTGTCATGTGTTTGCTTTATTAAAATGTTTGAATTGGTGATTTCTGCCTGTCTTAACTCAGGGATAATGAGGTTGATTGAGTAATACCTATTTAATTTCTCTTACCTGTGCAATGTAATTGGAGAGAGATGTGAATGCAGCATGTTTAACCTGCCAGCAAATGAGCCCTCAAGCTTCTGGTCTGAAGCGGTGCTATCAGCATCATCAGTGATAGCAGGCAATCACTTGCACCTATTGATCTGACATGGAATTCTATCACTTCTGCCAGGTACAGTGTAACCCCTTTGAAGTCATCGGTGGCCGAAGTTACTGTCTTCAATTCTGTGTTTTCTTGTTCTGTATTTAAATTATTTTTCATGTCTACCATGATGTAGAATAAAAAGTAGTGCTCTTTATCAAATTCACTGTATGCTAATGACAGTCAGTACTGGAAACCAACACCCCTTGCATAAGAGATGCTCTCACCTTTGAACCAGAATCAAGACCAAATACATGTACTGATGTCTATATAGCTTTTTTTCCAACGTGTTACTCTTCATGTGCAATTATATCCAGATTTTTACTGTGGTCCTCTGCAAATATGTGATAACAATGCACATATATTCAGATGGATATTTTCCCTCTCATGTTGAAATCTATGGAAAAGGCTGTGACAGAAAATCTGCAGTTACTTTCTGTACTGCTAAACCCCCCCCCCCAGTTTTCCACCAGCCTTCTCCCATCAGGAGGAGCTGCTCATGCCCCCTTCTCCATGACAATTCTGTAGTTTTCTGACAGGTTTATGTCAGAGGTAACAGATCTGTGAGAATTATAGATGTGACCATTCTGGCTGAGCTGTGTGCCCCGTGTCAGCAGATGGAGCTCTCCTGGATCTCGGTCCTGTTGCCAACCCCAACCTGGCCTTGCTGGCCAAGACCTGCTGCCAGCCTTCTCCCACACCTATAAATAAAATGTTGTTTGTGCTGTGTTCCTCTGCTCTGCAGTGGGCTGGCCAGGCTATAACACAAGTGAAGCAAGCAGGTTTATAGAGCAGTTACTTTTGTAAGGGAAGCAATGCAGCTCTGGGCTGCTGCAGTTGGTGATGCTTGGCGATGTGATGGAGGGTGGAAAAGCCCTCCTCTTGCCACCTTCCTCCTGCTAGGTCTGTGCCCAGAGTGCCATGAGATCCAAAGACTGCCCAAAACAGTTTTATTAAGCCAGCCTCATTTTTATCAAATTGTTTGATGCTACTTCTGATTACCTGTAAATAAGAGATGTGTCATATATATGTTATTGCTTTACATCTTTTTCTGTGAAACTAGCTATTTTCTTCCCTGTGTTTTGGTGCTCAGCTATCTCTAAATCTCATATGATTAGTAGGTTAATATTCAAATTCTATTATGACTGTTCATGTAAGCATAGGATTCATTTTCCTGCAGGAGTCTGTGCATATAGAAGTCCCGCTAACTCTTAGTGCTCGTTATCCTAAATTAAAGACAAATAGACCTTTATTTGTTTAAATTCAACCAGTATGGCTTATCAGCAAATTAATGACTTACAAACCAAAAGCAATTCTGCTACATCTAATATTCTGCAACTGCAAACCAACGTATTATATACATTAATCAATTTGTCATAAATGAATCCTTATTTTGTATGCAAGTAAATAAAACAGTCATGCCACAGTGTACTTTATTCGTAAACCAATATATAACAAATAAATGGATTTTGATGTAAGCATATTTTATTTCAGAAGTGAGAAATTAAATCTATATGCTTGTTACACAAATTTATATAACCTGTATGAATCAATATATGATATATACTACCTATTTTAAACTCTGACATGTTTGGGACTTGATAATTACCTCAATTTTATGAAAAGTTCCTGGTTTTAAGACAGTCCTAGAAGCAATTCAGACTTTAATTAAAAATTTTACCTTGGCTTTAAAAAGGTCATTTTAGCCAAGGGGAGATAATGTCCTTTTATAGTAGCACATCTTGCTTCTGCTCCTAATTGATGTTATTTGGTAGCTGTGGGAGAATAATGCGTGGTGCTGTTCAGGATAGCAAAAAATGGAATATTCAGTCTTACTGCAGATTTCTTTTGGTGTAATACTTGCAGTGTCAAGGTGTTCATGTCTTGTTGTTTGTACTAGCAGGTAAGTGTTTTCAAGTCTACAACAGTTTTTATTAATTAGTAGAAAAATGTGATACTCTACTAATGAAGTTCAGATGACTGCTCGGTGTGTTTACTCCCAAGACAGTATGCACTGTGGCCCACTGGAGAAGTAAATGCTGAAGCACACACCTATCTATCAGCTTCC